CTTAGTTACCTTCTCATGTAACCACTCATGACCCCCATGGCTTTCCTTTAAGGCAGGGCCACCTAGGCTCAGTGCCACTGCATGCTGACTTCTATAGATAGAGAGTAATGAAAAATAGTATAGCTGCATTGGAGGAGCTGGGGAGAGTATTTTTCTCATCAACAGTCTGTTATCAGTAAACAGTTCGATTGGAACCAAAGCACTAAGCAAAACTTCAGGGGGGAAAAATGTCTAATGCTGCTGGAAGGGGGATGTTGTTTTCAACGAATCTTTTCTGGGTTTATCCAAATCAGCTCTTGAAGGTTCTCATGAAAAACAAGAGGCTGCTATTTGTCTAAAAGGAAAATTTCAGTGATCAAAAATAAAACTTCTTTTAATTAGAGGATTCTAAAAATCCTAGGGGCTTTGAGATCTAGATTTAAAAAAAAAATAAATAAAAATCACACTGTGGAGTCCTTGATTAAAATCATTTTTGTTACCCATCAAAACTATTAGAAAATAAAAAGTCTGTTTTCTTTGAAATGCACTTCAGAAAAATAATCTTAATAGCGAGAACGGGGGGAGGGGGTTGTGATAGGTTTTTTCCCTTGCCAGGGGAAGAAAAAAAAAAAGCTCTTGCTAGGACTTAACAAGTAAGACTGAAAGCCATTTAAAAAAAGGGAATGGATCAGGTACAAACTGATAAAACTTCCCACTTCTTTGACCTTGTAAACTTCACATCATAATGCATGACACAGCAGGAAGTTTTCCTAGAAGTAGTAGGTATGTACATCCTCTCACCTCTTTTACTGGCTTAAACCTAGTTTTTCACTTTAATTACTGTTCATTTATTGAATGGAAAGCATGCATTTTTAATTATGTTAGTTGAAATGTTGGCTGGTTGTGAAACCGAGTACTTGGAATTGGTCCATTTGAGCCACGTGAACGAGCAGTACTGTTTTGTAGTTTTTTGCATTTTTCTTCACTTCAGCATTTCAAACTGTGATCCTTGCGCAGAGGAAAATCGCGTAGAGAAAGACTAAAGTCTCCATCTAGTGGGCAAGAACTTTTTATCGAAAGAAAAAAAAACCGCAAGATTTTCATTTAATTTTATGCATGAAGAAATACTGCTTTAGATTTTGTTTCATTAAGCTGCCATGTTGTTGTTAATTCTTGCCTTCTGCAGAGCCATTGTTTCATATGCAAAGCTGACATATTAAGAATTATTCTGACAGCCATGAGCAGGAAGCAATAAACGACACTAAATGGGTGGGTTTATACAGAAGAAGAGTTGATCCGCAAAATTCTTCCTCCCCTCCCTTCAAGCTACAATATATAGTAACCACAAGCGGATCATTTGTGTGTCAACACTATTTTGAACTATTTAAGGCTCTTTCCTACTTAAAACTGACGGGAAACATTCGTAACTTGACCATAACACTTAACACTATTTTGGGAGTATTTTTACACTCCCATGTGTTACCTCATCTTCGTTAAATGAACTGTTCACCTGCACAGGGTGAAATCTGGGTTCTCTGGCGACTCAGTCCAGCGCATCAGCTTCTGGCAAGGCATAACCCCACCGGCCTCTGCTCTCTCTTCCAAAGGTAAACACCAAAAATCATTCGTCCTGGCATTTGTCTAGGAGCCTGCCTAGCAGTGTTGTGTGTCCCAAATCATCGTGATAGGATCTAGCACCTTTATTTTAGGTACATAATTTATCTAGTACAGTACTTTTTTTTTTTTTCTTCCTCCTTCTTGCTGAACTTCTGCACTGCATTGCAGTTATGCTCCAAGCTCCTGAGAGATTCAAATGGAAGGACTCTTCAGTTTGAAGCAGTAGTGAAACTCGGGTGCTGTTCTCTCATTCCAAGCCAATGCGGCCCGCAGCTGAAACCTCCTCTTCAGTTCATTTCAGGCTAATAACAAGAGCGGGAGCCAGAAAAAGCAGCAGCAAGTGCAGATTTGGCAGAGGAGACACTGAACCACATTGTATGTCCTGCCTTTCGTCTGACTCTCATTTTCAAGCTATGCAGCCTGGCAAAATGAATTCCTCCTGTGCAGCTTCCAGCAGTGGGTAGACAATGTAACACGCATTGTACTAATACATTACTACCCCTGAGTTTACTATAGCCCACGTTCACCTCCACAGTTGGAATATTTTGGGGCAACTTGGTGTAGTGGAGGGTTTCCCTGCCCATGGAAACAACCTAGTTCCTAGATTGGAACTAGATGATCTTTGAGGTCCCTTCCAACCCTAACCATTCTGTGATTCTATGAACATTTGTCTTCTGTGCATTTTGCACACCTCTTGATCACAAGGAGTTCTCCATTTGCACTGGGCTACCTGATAGCAAATCCAGAGGATTTCTACTTCAGTATTAATGCACAATTTGGAAATTCTGACAGGCCACACAGACTTGCTGAACTGCCTGAACAGTTCTCCCCAGCTACAGCTCTCCTGGAATCCTCCATGAAAACATAACTCTGTAGCAGCAGTGAGCAAGAGCTGTTATTTGGCTTGTTTTACAGACTAAAACAAAGGACAGTCTCAGTGTTCTTACTCTGAGCTCTTACACAAGCAAGGACTACATTAGAACTGACTAGTCTTAGAGTGCCTTTGGGGAAGTTTGTACGTTTGCAAAATGCAAGCAATGCTATCTCCAAAAGGGAGGAAACGAAAGATAGAAGTAAAACTGCATTTTTTGGTTTGGGGGCAGCTTTTATCTTTGGTCTCAGCTTGCAGGAAGTCTATGTAACCCTTAAAACATGTCAGCTAAAACAATACAGAATGGTTATTTGAAACTTCACAGATACTTCAACGTTACCATTACAACGGCACTGTTAGCTGCATTAAACTCTCCTAAAATTGACATTAGCTACTTGTTAGAGTAATGACACTTGGTTTCTAATGCATGCGGACACCTGCCGTACTAAGCACGCAACAGAAGATGCAAGTCACGTACTTCAAAGCAAAAGTTGTTCTATAATTCCACTTCTAACTGCTGGCCTTTGCTCTGGAACTTTTCACATTTTAAGAGATTATAGGCTTGCTGATGAGCTAAAGCAAATCCCATGTTTGGAACTACAGTAAGATCCTCTGCCTCATTTTACTTTAAATACCTTGTCTAGCACTGGTACTTGAGCTGATGCTAATGAAATACAAACTTCCAGATGTGAAACTCTGGGGAATGTTTGACAATCTGCTTTTGTAATAATCTGCTGTAAACTCTAAATGCTAATTTGAGGATTAAGTGTTAATTTATTCCCTCTACAGGTCATTGGATGGTCTCATGCAAGCCTTCTAATTAATATTTAACATAGCTATTTTAGATGTTGTTTACCTGGGTTAGATTCTCAGCTGTTTTTTCCTTCTTTGTGGGAGCAGCAGCCTTTACAGCAATAAATGCACATCAGTGAGTTTGTTTCATGAGTAACACTACTTCTCTTACGTATTTTTTATAGCTAACCAGGTGCTGAAGTTTGGAACGCTCGTCAGTACTTCCAACACCTACGACCAGTCCGGGATTGTGACCATTGAGACAGACAAGCCTTTGCTGTGGACGATGGCTATCAAAGATTAGGTACAGCCGCCTTTTTTCATCTGAGTCAACTCAAATTAATGCAAAGTTTCACTGAACTAAGACAGTAAAGCTGTTCTGAAAGATGTAAGCAGGCACGGATTTTATGTACTGAATGCAAAACAAGTGTGAAATAAAAGTCACTTGAAATCAAATCAAGATTAGTAGCAATAATTTTCAGTACTTCATTCTGATACCTCACTACTTAATCAGAAGACACACAAGCTGACACCCAGTACAATCACAAACGGAAGTGAAGGTAAAGAAACAGCTACTACTTATCTAGTTAGTTCAGACTATTTTTACAAAGTGTTTTATTCCAATACTGAACTATTTTTTCCCCGTTTGCCAAAAGGAAATACTATACACAGTTGTACATAGTATAACTATATTAAAACGTGATAGCACTAGGAGTAGTTAATCTCATTTTTCTGTCCTGATTTGTAACATACGTAGGTGCTGGTCAAGATTTCTACAGAAGAGTAATAACTGAACTTTTCTACTTATGAAGCAAGTTTGTGTACTGAAGAAGCTTCAGTTTTGCTGTAACACCAATATCGGATTTCCCAGTATAGAAGTAGCATTTTAACTTCTGCAAATACCAAATGTTTACAATAAGTTTTTTTGGAGTGAAATACAAATGTCAATCTCAATCTGAAGAGGAAGAACATTGCATCTACCAGAGTTTTGCAGGCTTAGTTTGTAGAAAACAAAATATTCAATTGTTTAGTTTGTAGAAAACAAAATATTCAATTGTTTAATAACAGCAACTTCCAGGTAAACAAATGCAGAGCCCTTTATAATTCTTTGTGCAGTTGTCCTACAGAACCAGTATCCAAAACGGGTGTATATCCTATCCAACAGCATGAGCAAGTTATTGATTTGCTGAAGGACTGCTTGGTATCTCTGACAAGTAAATTAACCTCAAACTGTGCATCTTAGTAACCAACTAAGTTTGCCTTTCTTAATTATGCCATCAGAATAAGGACTGGCAATGTAAATTCTTTATTTGATGGGAGTGTTTTTCTAGTCAAGTACATAATATAACCTAACAGGACTTCCAAATGCAGAAGGGAATTAGGGGTAATGATGGTGATTCCAGAAATTAGTGACAAGAATTCCAGTTGATACGACTTCTAAATTACCACTTGAGAGGATACAGTAATGTGGTTTGCTTGCTGTCTACTTTTCCTGGAACAATGCTGTTTACTAAGCAGTAAATTAAGCATTGGAACAGCTTCTGAAGAGAGGCTGTACAGTTGTCATCCTTGGAGGTTTTCAATACCTGACTGGACAAAGCCTTAAGCAACTTCATCAGAACGCAACGCTGACCCAGCTTTGAAGCAGGAGGCTGGACTAGAGACCTCTCAAAGTTCTTTCCTACTGTATGATTCTATTACAGTTGAAAAGTAACAACAAACAAACGAAACAACCCACTACTACTGAAAAAAAACACGACTGTAATGCAGACAGGTATGATTGCATACACTTTAAAAGAGGAATAAGATGACAAGAATGTTTGAAAACCCAAACTGAGCTTGTTTAATAGCAGACAAGTTAAGGCTGTGAAATCTTTACAGCAAGTATCACAACGTCTTGTTCTTCATGATGAATATTCAGCCGCCTCTGTTGAGAAAACAAAGTAATCGGTTTCAGCTAATCAAGTGTGATCAAGTGATCCCATCTGAAGTCTCATTTATCCTCCCACCACTGCCTTGTTAGCACAAACATTACTACTGTTACAGCTTATCTCCTATTTTCAAACATGTCTCCTTGCCTAGAGGACCACTCTTAGAGGTATAAGCAAGCCACATGTCACAGTCACGGAACAGTATTTAACCTTTTCCAGTACTAGAAAAGGGATTACATCAGCTCTGGATAATCTGAGGAGTTTTAACTGGTAGCGTTAATATGTCAGTACCATGGCTGCTGGTCAACTTAACGGTCAAGCTTTTCATGCTGCACTGTTCATTCCAAAAGGTATTTTACAGAATGCAGTTACACGTCAAACACAGTTTCAAAAGTGTATCTAGCACTCAGTAAATGAGACAAGACCAACTTCGCTCTGTGCCCTGTCATCTTCCAGCTCAATTGCTCAATTTTCTCTACCTTAGCATTTGCTTTGGATACTCAAATAATAAACTGGAAACAGTAAGAGTATGTAAGATCACAATAAGGTAAGTGTTCCATGGTCAAACACACACTGAGGAACTGGAAATCAAAACATTTGACATTCAATTTTGAAGCAGAAAAAGACCTGAAGAACTATGCATCTAATATTTTGTAGCATGCTAAATTAACAACCTACTTCCTGATCAAGACCTTTGAATCAAGTAATATCTGTCATATTACATTAACATGTGAAATGCACAGATAATAAAGCAACATGGATCCTGTTGGACTCACTAATATCCTGTTTAAAATTGAACAGGTAAAAACAAACAGGTAAAATTTAGTGAAAGTGAAGGGCATGTTTACTTACACAATGATGTTGTTGATTGGGATATGGATCAATTTGACAAAGAAACCAATAAATCCCATTATCGCAAAGCCTATTGCTGTTGCCATGGCAATCTTCTGGAACTCTGCAAAACCAGAAAAATTTTAGTCAAGGAAGCCTCATGTATGGCATACAGGAGATGTGCACTACAGTGACCAAAGGAGAGACCTCTCTTTAGAAAATGGTAGTTAACGCAGGAGGCAGTTCAAAAGCAAACTGCATTGACGTTGAGAAAGAAATCCACTTTTTCAGAAGACAGATGAGATTTTAAGAGAGAAGATGCTGCTTTCCACAAAGCATGGCCGATCTCAATTTTTTTAAATAATAAGCAGAACAGAAAATACCCACAGTCCATAACAATTCATGGAGCATTTATTCCATTATCTTTCCTTCATATCTCTACAAGCCCTGAAAATAATCCCCAGTACAGTAGCAAAAATGGAAAGTTGATTTATGTCTGTCACAGGAAGACAGCATCTTAAGTACTCGATTTTTGCACGGACTTAAGTGATATTCTCAATTATTTTAAGACAGCAACCATGAAGTGGACTAAGGTCAACAGCCACTCACAACCCTGCAAGTCTGACAATGAATGAAGTTCCTTACGGATCTCAAAAGATGTCAGTAAACTTCATCCTGGGCATGTGAGGGCCAAAAAACTTCTCCCGCGCTACCCTGATCAGATTCTGTCAGGTCAGAATCTGACAATGAATGAAGTTCCTTACGGATCTCAAAAGATGTCAGTAAACTTCATCCTGGGCATGTGAGGGCCAAAAAACTTCTCCCGCGCTACCCTGATCAGATTCTGTCAGGTCAGAATTGAGGAATCCTATCAGATATGGAAAACTAGGAAGTCTTTCCAGATTGCTAACCAGACAGATTAGTCTGGCCTTGGGAAGGGGGATTTAGAAAGGTACAATGGATATAAGCTGGAACATAGGAGGTTCCGCCTAAACATGAGGAAGAACTTCTTCCCAGTAAGGGTAACAGAACACTAGAACAGGCTGCCCAGAGAGGTTGTGGAGTCTCCTTCTCTGGAGATGTTCAAAACCCGCCTGGACGCGTTATTCTGTGATCTAATCTAGGTGGTCCTGCTCAGGCAGGGGGATTGGACTAGATGATCCTTTGAGGTCCCTTCCAATCCCTAACATTCTGTGATTCTGTGAAATAAAGCATCGTTAAGTACTACCATTAAGGACAACCAGTCACATTCTGGTTATAGTTATAGCTTCTCTTTAATACCTTTGAGAAAGTCCAAAACCCTTCTCTTCTGTATTTCCAGCAACAAAGTTCTTCCTGTTGCTGCAAAAAGCAATCCTAGCTGCTTTCAGGTCTCCTAAAATGAAGTGTTTCCTCCAAGGTCCAGGATGAAGCAATTTCCTCCAGAATTCCCCAAGCTGACTACAATCGGTCAAACTGGACTGCTGCATTTGTCTTGTCAAAGTGCATTCAAGTTCTCCTCAGATCAGTTTACTTAGTACGTGAAAACTACTATTTGCCTGGCTCAAAATGGCTGACTGCAGCTACTCACCCTATTTCATACGGTAAGTTTTAGTACCACTCACGCACCTACGGACACATTCAAGTTTATCACATCCTGAACCATAAACCTATTAATGTTTGGACAACTGCTCAAGTTTAAATCTCATTTTGGAAGCTGAGAAACGTTCACAACAAATGAATCAACAGAGGTGACACAGGGAAAGATACAGGGTAAGACATAAGATGAAATAAGGATTGCATTCAGTTTTATTGTGTGCTTTACCTTTCCTGTCAGGCTTGGTGCACCTTTTAACAAGCCGTATGGAATCTTTTACAAACTGGCGGCTGGGTTCCACGAATTGCATTACCTGATCCATGATTACCTGCAAAAATGAACGGATTTAGTGTTGGTGGTGCCATGTACACACTGAAAGAGAATATTTTTTAATTACAGAAGTAGATGGACCAGTTACCTACAAAACTGGGAAAGACTTACGACTTAAAATGTCATATTCCAACCTAACTGGACTTTAAAGGATATTTCCGCTTTGCAGAAAATGAAAACACTAAATTATACATAAACATGAGGACCTACCACTGTCTGCAAAAAATAGGAAGAATTATGCCTTTCAGCATTGAAGAGGAAAACAGCAGCTCCATCACCGTTTGCATTCGGCTTATGCCCTACGCTGTGTTTCTGAAAACACTGCTGAAGGCGTCTAGACAAAAGCCACCCGTTCCAAGAAATCCCCACGCCAAAAGCCGCTGGAGGATTTGTGTGCACCGAGGGAAATCCCATGGCCGACTCTCATTCCCAAAAGGGGCGTCCGCAGCGCTGCCACCCCGAGCAGGACACCAGGCCGGAGCGATCCGCGGTCACTGACCCGCACGGACCCTCCGATACGAGGGTGCCTCACATCGGACCCTCTC